ATAAAGGAGCCAAAAGCACACCTTGGAGGAAAGATAGCCTATTCAACAAAATAGCTATGGGAAATCTGGATATCTGTTTGCAGAAAATTGAAACTGGACCCATATCTCACCATGTACTAAACTAAAATAAAAAATGGATTAAAGATCTAGATGCTAAAACAGAAACATTGAACCACTGGAAGATAAAATAGGTAAAACATTTGAAGTCACAGGTGTAGGAAGGATTTTCTGGACAGAACTCCAATTGCACAAGAAATAGCAGCAATAATCAACAAATGAGATTACATCAAATTAAAAATCTGCACAGCAACGGAATCAATAAGTAGAATGAAAAGACAACCTACAGAATGGGAAAACATCTTTGCTAGTTATTCTTCAGACTGAAAACTAGTATCTAGAATATATAAGCAACTAAAAAAATTAGATCACCTAACATAAAAAATCCAATCAAGAAATGGGGTAAATAAAATGACCAGACCCTTCTCAGAAGAAATACAAATGGCCAAAAAATGTATAAAAACACATTCAACATCTCTGGCCACTAGAAAAATGCAAATTAAAACAATGCTAAGATTCCATCTTATACCAGAAAGAATGGCAACCATCAAGAAGCCAAAAAATAGCAAACGCTGCTGTTCCTCCAGTGTATGTTTTTAACCCCTTTGTCAAAGATCGGATGTTTGAGTGTGCCTGGGGTTATTTCTGGATTGTCTATTCTGTTTCATTGATCCAAAAATGTTTGTTTTTGTGCCAATAACATGATGATTTTTATCACTTAAGCATTATAGTATAACTTGAAATCTTTTTTTGTACCGGGGATCGAACTCATGACCTTGTGCTTAGTGAGGCAGGCATGGAGCACTGAGCTAAATCCCCGGCAATAACTTGAAACCTGAGATTGTGATGCCTCCTGCTTTGCTCTGGTTGCCTAGGATGGCTTTTGCTATTCTGAGTCTCTTATTGTTCCATATGAATTATGGGATTCTTTTCCCTAGTTTTGTGAGGAATGCAGTTGGTATTTTGATTGGGATTGCGTTAAACCTGTATATATTTTGAAAGTATGGGCATTTTGACAGTATGGGTTCTGCCTCTTCCGGAACAGGGGTTATTTTTTCCTTTTTATTGAGTTTATTGGTACAATCTAGGTATACAATACAGTTACCTTCATCATTGGGATCTTGTACCTTTACATGACAGGTCTTGGTTCTCATTTTTTCCCCTTGTCCCTTCCCTCCCTTCACCCCCTTCCATCTTTTTTTGATGTCCTCTTTGATCCCTTTTGTTAGAGTATTTTATTAGAGGTCTTTCAATTCCTTGGTTAGGTTAATTCATAAGTATTTAATTTTTCTTGATGCTATTGTGAATGGTATTGTTTTCTTAATTTGTTTCTGGGTAAGTTCATTACTGCTATGTAGGAATGCTACTGTTTTTGTATTTTATGTATTGATTTTATATTCTGCTACACTACTGCATTTGGTTATTGATTCTAGGAGGCTTTTTTTTGACACAGGGTCTTGCTGTGTATTCCAGCAAGTGGCCTTGAACTCACTATGTAGTCTAGGCTGGTCTTGAACTTTTGACAGTCCTCCCACCTCAGCTTCCCCAGTGCTGAGTTTACAGACATGTGCCATCATGCCTAGCTTCTTGGGTCTTCTATGTGGAGGATCATGTCATATGCAAATAATGATAATTTGACTTCTTTTTTCCTGTACATATCCTTTTTATTTCTTTCTCTTTCCTGAGTGTCCCATATTTTGAGTGCTATATTTAATGGGAGGTGGGATAGTGGATATCTTTGTCTTTTTCCTGATTTTAGAGGAAAACCTTCAGCTTTTCCCTTTTTAATATTATGTAGGTAGTAAGTTTGTCATAAATCTTTTTATCAGATTAAGATAAACTTCTATACATATTTTCTTCAGGGTTTATTTATTTTTATCATGAATGGATGTTGAATTTTTGTCAAAGGCTTTTTTCTGTGTCTATTGAGATGATCATGTGATTTTTGTCCTTGCTTCTGTTTATGTGATGTATTACATTTATTGATTTGCATATCTTGAGCCATTCTTGTATCACGGGGATGAGACTTACATGGTTGATGTATGATCTTTTTGATGGATTGTTGCAGTCTGTGTGCCAGTATTTTGTTGAGGACTTTTCCATTTCTGTTCAGTGAAGTGATTGCCCTGTAGTTCTTTTTATGGTTAGGTCTTTTTTTGTTTCTGGAATCAGAGTAATGCTAGCTTCCAGAAATGACCTTGGGTGTATACCCTCTCCCTTTAGATTTCCTTAAAGAGTTTGAGAATATTGACTTTAGATCCTCTCTGAAATTCTTATAGAATTCAGTAATGAATCCATAGGGTCCTGGGCTTTTGTTAGCTGGGAGTTTTAAAATTACTGCTTCAATTTAATTGCCTGTTGTGGCTTTATTAGGGTTTTTATATGTTCTTGGTTCTGTTTTGGTAATTCATATGTATCTAAGAGTGTCTATTTCTTTGGATTTATTGGACTACAGGTTTTCAAAGTAGTTACTAGAAATCTAGGTTTTAGGTTTTTTTTTTTTTGTTTTTTGCTTTGTAGTTCAGGCTGGCCCTGAATTCTGGCATTGAACTCACAGTGATCCTCCTGCCTCAGCCTCCCAGTCAGTGGAGTTTGTTGTGATTTCACCTTTTTTCACTTCTAAGTACATTGATTTGGACCTGTTTTTCCCTTTTTGGTAAGACTGGCTAAAGGTTTTCTATTTTGTTTATTCCTGAAAGAAATTTTTTTGTGTGGGATCATGGCTCTTTCAGGTTTTATATGCCTCACATAGCTCTGTGTTTAACTGTTGACCCATATTTGGAAAGTTTACTGCTATTATTTGTGTAAACAGGTTATTATGCCATTTGTGCTGTTTTCTTATTTTTCACTAATTCCAATTAAACTTTATTAATCATCTTTTCACCATCTAGCAGATGTTAGATCTATTTTCCTTGTTGTATTTATTTTTTTTTGTTTTTTATTTTATTTTATTTTTTGGTACCGAGGATTGAACTCAGGACCTTTTGCTTGCGAGGCAGGCGGCACAACCACAGAGCTAAATCCCTGGCTCCTTCTTTGTTGTCTTTAATTGGTCACTGACATTATGATCACTTTTTTTTTGGTACTGGGGATCGAACTTGGGTCCTTGCACTTGCAAGGCAGGTGGCGGAACCACTGAGCTAAATCCCTGGCCCCATGGTCACTTCTGCTACCCATACTTTCAATAGAATATTCAATTGCCTGGATTTCTTTTTGGTATCTTTTTATGGACTCTGATTCTTTGCTCAACTTGGTCATTCATGCTTTGTATCATTTTGTTTAGTCCATTTAATTTTTTATTAGTGCTTCTGTAAACAAAACTAATTGTTTTGTTTATTCAGACTCATTTTCTATTTACTTATATGCTCTTTGAGCTCACAGAGAAGGTTTTTCATTTGTTTTTAATCTCCTCTTTTATTGTTTTGAATAATTCAGCGATGTGGCATTTGATTTCCTTTTCCTTGATGCCCTAGGAATCAGCTTTGAGAGAGTTGGGAGTTTTTGAAAGCATTTTTATTGGATCATCTTCTCTTGTTTCTTATTGTGTGTGTTTTGGGCTAAGTATTGTGGGCACTTATAGTGGAAAGTCTTTGTTGCTACTATGAAGATCTCTTTTAGTTAGTATCTGTTTTTCAGTGATGCTCTCTGAACATGGCTAACTATAAGCCTTTTCCTCTGTCCTGAGCTCTGACTTTCTGTGTTAACTTGGGAGGGAAGAATGCAGTATAATTGGACCAGCACCCAATTCTTCATGAATGGAGTGCTATATTATTAATAACCCAAAGATAATTCAGATATTGGCATACAGAGAAAACCAATTAATAGCAACAACTATACTACCCTGGCAATAGCAACAAAATCAGCAATAATAACAGTGTCAAAGACAAGCTGGATACTGACATACCATAAGAACCAATAATGTGCCACCCTTAACCACAGAAAAGAGGCCTGCAATTATAATATAAATTCTAAGACAAGCCAATATTGTCATATGGTAAAAATGTACTGCATTTGACCTTAGCCAAAAGGCTGAGAAGTGATAGTAAAAAGTATAATAAATACAACTATACCTCCACTAATAATAGAAAAGAATTGAAAAGTAATAACATAAATTTAACTATCTAAATATTAATAAAGATTACATTAATGGTTATTTCAATGTTTGTTTTCATAAAGAAATGAATTCCAAAATAGTTTCATAATATAAATGTCTTCCTTTTTCAAAAAGCTACTTTGGCCAGGTGTGGTGGTACACACCTGTAATCCCAGCCCTCAGGAGGCTGAGGCAGGAGGATCACTGTGAGTTTGATAAAAAGCTAAAATAGAAATGACATTAAAAAAAGCTTAACATCCAGGAAGTATATTCCATGATCAAACTAATGAAAAATCCTCAAAATGAGTAAAATATTCATTGCTAATAGATGATTGGGTATCTAAAATAGAAAGTGTCACTTTTAATAGCCTGGAGAAAAGATCATGTCAACAATTTGGAAATAAAAACCTACATAGGTGTTGACCTAAGAATATAGTAAAACACAAAAAATGTTGAGAGTTATTTACAGATTTAAAAGTAGTTCTCATCTTTTCAGCAAAAGTGGTAGCACACCAAGTGCACCAAATTATCACAGCCATCTTTCCATAGAGAAAAATACTAATGCAGGCTATGAGATTTATGAAAAGATTCACCATTATATCTATAATTTTTATGTAAAGCTTTAAGATTTTATGCATGCTTATAATGCAGAAGAAAAGAGAAAATCTTGGAATAAAGACTAAATTTTAGTTTCTTCTAAAAAGAAGAAAATATGACACTGAAATCCTGAATAACAATTATAATTCATAAGGAAACACAAGAACATGCCAATTCATCCTATTAGTAAATATAATGCTGGGTAGTAAGGAAGATTGCTTATCTAAACAAAGGTGTTTGACAAACCACACCTTTAATCAAATTTTCCATTTTGAAGACTATTATTGGCTTTCTCCTGTCTGATGAGAGAGATGACTTTGATGCAACCTTTAGAGATTTTGATCATCCACATGACATTTGTCACATCCAAAACAATACAAGTAGAGATCCAGGAACATTGGATTAGCCTGATGTAGGGTTCTGTTTCATACAGGGAATACAAGAAGCTATAGAAAGGAGGTATAGCAATCTGCACAATGAAGAACACCACGGTCACGAGAATTCCATTGGTGACATTAGCTTTGGAAAACTTTGGATACTTCAGAGCTTCAAAGAACCACCGCTAATTCACAAAAGGTCTGGAAAGCTCTGCAAGCAGTAGAAAATTTGCAATGTACCCCAGCACTTGATATTTGAGTACAAAGCAGTGTGCATACAGTGCTGCACAATGATGAGTTATGAAAAATTTGTCACCAATCACTTTTCCATAGAAAATGAGAATCAACAAATCAGAAATGAGGTAGCCTGAAGCAGTAGCAATATTCAGTTTCACAAATGATGAATTGCCCCAAAGTAGATCAGCTCTAGTAGCCTCATCAAAGAAGAAAATATATAGGCCCAAAATCCCAAACATCAAAGAATGGCATGCAGAAACTACCCTCAAGTTCCATTCAATCTTCTTTTCCAAGCTGAGACTATTAAAACCTGAAGAAATGTTTGCAGAAAACCAATAACTTCCAAATTGGGAAAGAAACTGAAAGGTGAGAAAGCTGATACAAAGAGTGCTGATAACCAGTTTGGTGTTGGTATCCATATTTCATCAACAGTTCATAAAGGTTTCAGTCCATAGTCAGCTGCTCTGAGACAGGGATGGCAAACAGGCATTGCAGAGAAGAAACAACACAGCGAGCACAGGGCAGCAAAGGCAACAAGAGGGAAGTTAATGGTTATACCAGTAAAGATAGAGTAGGAAATAGGAGAATGTAAAAGAACTATGTGAAAAATTAAGCAATGTTTTCTTTCCAGGACCCACAGTTTTAGAATCCAAAACAGTCATGATTTTCTCCACCAACTTTATGGTCTGTCATTTTGTGAAGTGTCCCCCACTTGCCCCATTCCAGAGGCCTCTCTGTTCATTCACCCCAGGCTGTGGCAACTGTCCACATTTAAGCATGTCCTTCCTTACTTTGGCAGATAGGGAAAATAATCAGAGCTCTGAATTGTGCTGATGTAAGAAGCAGGGTAAAGGTTCAAACAGACTGCTAAACTTAATGCCAGCACTTTCTGACCCACTTGCTTCTGAACTCTCCACATGATGGGCCTGTCTGGCTATATAGGGTGAGGCCATGTGTCCTTTCTGGCCTGAACTTAAACTTCTCAGGTGGTCTATGTCTAGCCCACACCCTCTCCGCAATTGTCTCCTGTGACTGTCTCTCACCCAGTTACTGTGGGAGGGTAATATTGGGAACCATGAAGTGAAGTTGTTTTGTAATTGTTCTGGCTTAGTCTTAAATAATTAACCCCTTCCCAAAGTGGCACCCAGTTAAACACTCTGGCAATATTGTGGGTGCTGTAGTGGATTTCTTCTCCAACTCTAGCCTGCTGTGTAGTCACTTTCAGAGTAAAACTCTATGCCATTTTTGCAGTTTACAGTAGCCATGGGCATTTCTTGGGGCTAGTGCTGCTGGCCTGGTCTGTTGTTTTTTCCCTGAGCTCGTGTCCCTGAGGAATTACCTTGAATCTCTGGACATATGTTCCTTTCCCTGGGAACTAACATGAGTTTCCAGACTGCTTCATTCTTTTCATTGAGTTATGCCCCATTTCTTCAGCTTTTCTGTAGTTTCTAATTTTCCTTTCAGTTCTCTAGTGAGATTCCTGGAAATCTTCATCATCATCATCTCCTCCTC